ATTTGAATTATTAACTCCAAAGAGTGGCTGGAGAAGGAAATGGTTGCGGGGATCCCTGGCTTTTCTCCTCCCGTGGATGATTAGAACAAAGGGAGGCACAGAAGAGCAGGGAAAAGAGGGGAAAGCAAATTTCCCTCCGACATAAGGAGGCACATTTTCACGCAGCGCCTTGTCGATACATAGAGAGGCCACCTACCAGGTACAGAACAACACTGCGTCCATTGTGAAAGCAAGCAGATGCCAAAGCAGGGGAAAACCACACTCATTTTTACCAAACACGGTTTTGTTTTGTTTTGTTTTGTTTCTTTTGCTTACAAAAGCATTCCTTTAATACCAAGTGGACATCCCAAGCCTTTACTTTCTTCTGCACACTGTGGACTCCTCTCTGCTCCAAATACCCCAACGTACAGTCTGAAATGCAAGGCAGGTTGGAAGCCACAAGGAAAAAGCCCATGTGGCCATTATTACCCTCTCCCTCTCTTGTTCTGACGTTACAAACGGAGGATGAATCGATACAGAAAGATGATACGAGTGTTTTCCAATTTGGTAATTTTCACCACATTAATGGTGAGATTTGAACTTTGTCCTCCCGAGACAAGCAGAGAAATATGTTCACAGGTCGCAGTGGTCAACGCTTTCCTTTGATTTGATGAGCACGTGTTCTCTGCATTGTGTGGAGACAGACGCATTCTGACTCCAGAAAATAAGGTGCTTCGTTACAGAATCCAGTCCCTGGGAGGAAAAGAGAACTGCACTATCACGGATGCTGGAGACCCCGGGATATCATCTGGCCTTTCCCTCTTCAGGAAGTTGCTCTCAGGACCCTTCCCAGTCTTCCTCTTCAAACCCTTTCGGTAGAAAGTCACAAAGTCTTCTTTAAAGAATGTAAAATGGGACCTTTCAGAACATGTAGGTCCTATCGATCGTAAATACTGTTAATAAGTAGCATCAATGTTTCCTGTTTCCTGTTTCCATCATTGTTAAAGATGCATGCTGTCTTATATAAAGCAACTGACTGTTAAGATGAGTTGTATAATATCGAAGGCCATTAGGATTTAATCATCTTTCTATTTAAGAGATTGGGGGACTAGGGTTTACATCTCAAATATTGCACATCTGATCAGGGCACTTCAAGAAAGACAGTATAATAATGGGAAAGAATATGAAAAAGAATATACATATATATATATATATATATATATATATATATATATATATAAAACTAAGTCACTACGTTGTACACCAGAAACTAACAGAACATTGTAAATTAACTACATTTCAATAAAAAGGAAAGATAGGACAAACATTCCAAATATGAAATACCAGTTTTAAGAACTAAAAAAAAGAAAGACAATATAGACCCAAGATAGGAAAAAAAAAATCGTCTGGACTTGCTTAGTCTAAATATCTAAAGGATGAAAGGCATATGATCAAAGGTTAGACAATCATCACGGATAATAGACTTCTTTACCAAATTCTGGAATAAGAAGGCTAAAACACCTGAAGGAAGTAGTTTGAGGTTGAATTACTGCAATTGTTTGTGTTGAGTTTTTGTCTTTAAGGAAATTTTTCATATTGCAGGGTGAATGTAGATTTAGAAAACAGTTTTTTTCTATGACATTGTATGTAAGATTCAAAGAAGATTTGGGTTAATTTTATTTGTATTTATTTACTTTGTGTTCAGTAACGTAGGTATTCTTTTTATCATCTTTTTTCAGATGGAAACTGAGGCTCAGAGAGGGTAAGTAATCTTCTTGACATCACACAGCTGATAGGTGGTGGAGTCTGGCCCCAGGGTCTGTGCTCATCACTACTCTGTCACTTCTCATTCAATTACACGTTGGATGAATGGTCAATGGACACCCCAACAGGGAAAGGGGCTGTGCTAAGGTAAGTTAAATACTGTCCTTTCTTCAAAATGTCTACAGATTAAGAAGAGAGATGAGACATGGGCACAAATGCCGACATCCTAAAGAAGCACGTGACACGCTACCTAACAGAGACACCTGGACTATATGAAGCAACTTTGTAATCTCTCCATGTGGTCCAAGGACAGTGGGACATGGTGGGAGCAGGAGAAGAGGACGATTTAGGAGGAGGGGGCCCAGCAACCATGCTGGGGGTCGTTAGGAAGGGAGCCCACAGTAAATACCATTCCAGTGTTGAGAAAAGAGAGTTCTCCCTGGGAGAAAAAAACAGTTCTTACAAAATACTGGGCTTTTGCCGATTTCAATGTGTCGTAGGCTCAGTAAGGCCAGGTGTCTTGGAGCAAAACTTGGCTCTGGCCTTTTTTTCTCACTTGGACAGCAAAGAAACTGACCAAGTATTTGCACACTTTAAAAATATAATTTAGCTATGATACACCCATGGAAAGATTAAAATTCAAAAAAAAAAAAAAAGAGAGACTGGGGAAGGGTATAGCTCAAGTGATAGAGCATGTGCTTAACATGCATGAGGTCCTGGGTTCTATCCCCAGTGCCTCCATTAAAACAAATAAATAAATAAACCTAAGTACCTCCCCCCTAGAAAAAAATTTAAATAAAAGAAGTAATATGACTATAGAATTCAAATGTACTTCTAATTAAAAAAAAAAACCTAGAGTGGATAAACCAATGATATTGGAATATAAATACAATCTCTGGATCCCTGAGAATTTGTGAAAGACATTGTTTGCTTTTTGTGCAGAGAATTTAGGAAAAGCTCTTAAGTGCAGAGTGAAGAGGAAAGAAGCCACCCACAGTCTTCTCCTGCCGCCAAAAGAAAATCACTGTTAACAGTTTGAGAAACTTACTTCCAATGATTTTCTTTCCACGTGGTTAACGAAGTTAACACAGTAAGTATAATACTTCAGTATAATATAAAAATGTTTCATACGAACTGAAAAGTTGTTCATAAATAATTGTAAAGGCTACATAATATTGTTTGAGTCGGTATGTTGTATTTTACTATGGAAGTGTGGGCATATAAGCTATTTTAATTTTATTTTGCTGGAATAATGTTGAAAGAACGTCTGGGCGAAAAGCTCTTTTCTGATACTGTTTTTAGGACAAAGAATTTCTGGAAATGTACCTTTAACAGAGTATGTGTTAAGAATAGTTCCCACCTACTCTTCCTCTTTTAATCTTGTTTTTTTTTTAATTTATTTCTTTTTATTTTTTGGGAGGGAGAGGCAATTAGGGTTGGGGGGTTGTTTTAATAGAGGTACTGGGGATTGAACCCAAGACCTCATGCATGCTAAGCACGTGCTCTGCCACTGAGCTCTACCCTCCCCACAGTCCCCATGAACTCTTGACAAAATACACTTATTGCTACAGAGAGTTCGATGGTATTAAATATAGGGTCAGCCTCAGCCCATGGTTTGTCGGCATCCCAGCTGCCCGTGGAAAAAGAATTACGAGCTGTCTATACCTGCAGTTCAGGCAGACACAGACATATGCACTGGACAGCACATGGGATGGGGAGGAGATGCTGAACTCAGTCTGAAATGTTCCTTTCTACTCTGGCAAGGAATGAGGCGGGACCCCAGCGCTGGAAGACGCACCAGAGAGTGAGGGAGAGAGTTGCTCCTCTCACAGCGGGAGGTTGTGATGCTTGCTCCCCTCCCAGGCTGAGGCCCCGAGTGGGTATCCCTAGACGGAGCAGCCTCTGTGTCATCAAAGGATAAAGAAACTGCATCACGTCAACAGGAGGACAGATAAACTACGGCACTGCCGAGGCCATCTTTAAAAGAAGTGGACATGAGATGGTCAGTTTTTCCACTTCACATCAGAAAAAGGTGAGAACTATGGACAGACACTCAGAAATAGGGATTCATTGCAAAAGACCTTTAACTCAATGTATCCTGCAAATCTCGAACTCCCAATTTCTCCCTTCCCACCCCCTTCCCCCTACCCTGGGAACCATAAGTTTGTTTTCTGTCTGTGAGTCTGTTTCTGATTATTTGTAGATACTAAGGTACATAAAATACATAAACAACAAGTTCATACTGTATAGCACAGGGAACTGTATTCAATATCTTGCAACAACATAGTGAAAAAGAATATGAAAATGAATATATGTATGTTCCTATGTGACTAAAATATTGTGCTCTACAGCAGAAATTGACACAACATTGTAAACTGATTACACTTCAATAAAAATATATAAAACAAACAAAAACAAAACAAACAAACAAACAAAAAATCTCAACGTATCCTGTAGGCAGGAGGACCTAGTGCAAGGTGAAAAGATTTCTCTCTCTCACTCTCTGCCTCAGTAAAGGACTCAGCTAGGAGTGTGTTCCAGGGCCAGCAGGCACCAGCTGGAGGGAGCTGAATGGGAAATAGGCAGGAATTTTGCAAACCGGTTTGGTAACTTGAAACTGGCCACAATGGGAGTATTTAGAGCATGGAAATCAGCACATGCCGCATATCAGAGCTTCCCCCACCACCTCCCCCTACCCAGGAAATCTGGTCTACCATCTCACCATCGCTCCTGAACCAAAGCGCCTTTTCTGATCTCTCGCCCAAATTCCAGACCCACCACTGCCAACTACATCCAGGACATCTCTCCTCAAACTCATTAGGTTAAAAAGAGAACTCACTGTATTTTCTTCCAGGTGTGATCTGATGAGTGTGTTCTGTACTTCTGTTAACAATTTATCCTCTGAACACCCAAAACTCAAAACCTCACAATCATATTTGACACTCTGATCAATCATAACAAGGGGAAAAAAGGAGGAAAATTATTTGAGCAGCATGGATCTCTGAACACATCACGTCAGCCCTTGTGATAAGCCCTTAAACATCCTCGTAACGTCTCCTGAAAGCAGTTATTATTGCAGTTCTGCAAAGGCAAAACGAAGTTCAGGGAAGTTACGTTACTCACCCAGGTTTCACCGCTAGCGCGTCATCACAGAACTATGTTTCGAACCCAAGGCTCTCTGCGTACAAAATCCATGGCTGCGTTGCTAACTAATCAGTTGCTAAATTCAGCCCTATAGGACTTTTTTCGTTGTTTTTATGCGAGTATTTATTTACATGCAATGAAATGCACAAATCGGAAATGTACGTGCACCGTGTTGACAGACATACACCAATGTGTCAACTCGTACTCATATCAAAATATAGAGCATGTCCATCACCCCAGAAAGTTTCTTTCTTCCTTCCTCCGGTCACTTCCCCCAGAGAGTAACCACTACTTTGATTTATTTCATCAGAAATGAGTTTTATCCTTTCTAGAATGCCATAGAAATGAAGTCCTGGGCATGTCCTCTTCCATGAAAGGCTTCTTTAGTTCAGCATTTTGAGAATTAACCATATTATTCATGGACATCAGTATTTTTATGTTTTTTTTATTGCTGAGTAATATGCCATTGAAAGGATAAGTCAATTATTTCTCCACTTTTTATTGATGGACATATGAATGATAGGCTATTATGTATAAGGATGCTATAAATATTCTTACACAAATCTACTTGTTGACATGTGTGTTCATTTGTTTTGGGGTAAAACCTAAAATTATCAGTGCTAACCCATAGGTTAAGTGTATTTTTACCTATGAGAAACTGTCAGACTGATTTCCAAAGTGATCTTCTCATTTTACATTCTAACTAGCAGTATATGATGATTCGGGTAGCCCCACGTTTTTGTCAACACTTAGTATTGGCCATCCTTTTAATTTTAGCCACCCCAGTGAGTGTGTGGTGATGACTCATTGACTTTAGTTTGTATTTCCCTAAAGACATTTTCTTAGTGACTTATTGTGTAGACCTGGAGCTGGAAGAAAACACGGGAAGGTCAGGAGTATATCTTTGTGAATTTAGACAAAAATTCCATTGACGGGACCCAGAAAGCACTAAATTTAAAAGGAAAAAATATATATATGACTTCATATATGTATATACACACACACATATATGACTTGATCTATATATACATATATATATATATATATGACTTCATCAAAATTAAAACCTTAAGAAAATGAATAAACAAGCTGCACTCTGAAATAAATATATACACACAAGGGACTTATACCCAGACTATATAAACAACTCTTTCAGCTCAAATTTTTTTTTAAAAAATCCTATGGGAAATTATGGGCAAAAAACAGCAGACACTTCATGAAGGAAGATATACAAGGACCAAAAAGCACCTGAGAAAATTTGTCAGAGCACTTCATCTTTACCTTTTTGAGGAGCCAACCATTTTGAAGTCTGTACTACAGTTTGTGTAAGTATAACTTCCCACCCAAACTGTAAACCCCTTGAAAGCAGAATGAGTCTGCAAGGCATCCTTGTACCCCCCTGGGAGCGTGTACACGTGCAAACAGAGTAGGCTCACAGATATTTTTAAACGGTTGACAAAATGATGTAACAAAGTCTATCTTGAGTCATTTTAGCTGGCTATTAATTTTGTAAGCAAATGAAGCAGTAATATTAGAGCAGTGCCAAGAGGGAAGAAGTAAAACAGGTCGCAAGAAGAATAAACCAAAAAGGGGGAAAAAGTATTTCGCACAGACAGATGAAATGACATTTCATGGGTTAGTGTAAAATATAAGAGGAAATTGGGTTAGTAGAATAAAACAACAAAATAATGTGAAACAAAATAAGAATATGTATAAAATAATTTCCCAAAATAAGACACCTACTCTTTTGCATGGGCAGCCCATCTCTGTGTCGGTAATTTTACATCTATGAAAGCCCAGGGGAAGCTATCAGACCAAAACAGGAAGCTGTGCATGTGGTCTGAGGCGGAAGTCACCAAGACATGCCTCCTGTGTACTCTGATGTGCATCCTGCTTGCCAGAAAACTCAGATTCCTTGCCAAAAAAATAGACCCAGAAAACGCACATGGCATCATGACTGCGTTACAATAGTGTTTCCAGAGTCTGGTGACATCTTGGAATTCCCAGAGTCCCATAATTTTAACTCCTATCAGGCACGTCCTCCTTGAAATAGTTTGTTCACTGGGGCACTTGTGAACGACTTGTGTGAAACTTACTCATCTTCGTGATTCATGAACTATTGTTCAATATTTACAGTTATTCTGAAAGGAATTTTCTAGAAGTGGAAGCTTACCCAAATCATATACCTAATTATCTTAAAATAATGACGCTCTCTCTGTTCCCAATGGTGACCTCAAATCCAGTTCTTTAAAGGAAAAAAAAAACCTGAATATATTCCAACGATCTTATTTCTGTCCCAGATTTCAAAGTAATTTGTGTAAATCATTCAATTCCCTTGTATTGTTTTGGTTTTATTTTCCCTTCCTGGTCAGAACTTTGGCAGATGTGGAAATTCTGACCAATAGGAGTAATTTTCAGGACTTTTCTTTTTTTGAGATTCTCAGGAGGAAAAAAGGAAACTTACTGAATAAATTAAATTACAGTTCATGACTAGAGCAGTAAACAAGAGGATTAAAGGGATACTCTGGGTGGGGTTCATACAGGTCCTGGGAAAAGAAGGAGAAACTGAAGGGGTTTTTTGTTGTTGTTGTTGTTTTTTTAAGAAAGAAGAGTTAAAAGATTTGAAAGATCCTTAAAAAATGGGATCCTAGAACTATAAATTGTGTGTGTGTGTGTTTGTGAATGTAGAGAAAGACGGTGTATGAGAGTCAGAGAAAAGAAAATCTTTAGTGAAAATTATAGTTTTACCAAGAAAATCTTGGAGTAAACATATTTATCTCTAGTCAAGCAAAGCACACTCAGATAATTAGCAGAACTCAAACAATGTGATCTCACCCGAGATGCCACCTCAGAAGCATTATTCTCCAGTTGAGTAGGCCCATCTAACACACACACACACACACACACACACACACACACACACACACACACCTTAACACTAGACCTGTCATTGCAGTAATAGACTTAGGGAAGGAGAGATGGGAATAGCAAAATGGCAGAATATGCTTAAATGTGTTGGTTTGGACATACAGCCTTCAAACCACTCTCCTGATGTCTCACTTCTTTCTCAAGTTTTCTCAACGAAAAGCTAAAAAGAAAAGCCAGTGCTTATGACCAGGGCTGGGAGAAAACAGAAAGCAAATGGTTCAAAATCCTAGAGTGACATCGAGGTAAAGGCAGCTGCATCCTGGCATTCCATTCTTGGTCCTTCCAAATTATAAGCAGACGGAAGAGACACCATCAAGGCTCCTCCTCACTCTCCGTCTTTCAGGGCAACGTTGGCTTAGATCTTTCAACAGGTCTGATGCATTGCTGTATGTATATCATTTCTTAGATCTGTCATATTTTTTTTTAGTGCTCAAGGAGGCCTGTTATGAAAAGGAGCCCCCTAGTTTATAGACATGTAAGTTCCCTCTTTGGCGTTTTGAACTTCTCCAAAACTCAGCATATCGGAAAAGTACTCCATCCCAGACTGATTCCATCCCGTCAGGGGGTCTGCTCCACCCGAAAAGCAGGCTTCCGCATGTCATTTTTATACTTTAATTCAGATCCTGTTGGTGACTTCCTGTCCATTTCTATTTTGAATTTTGCTGGGTGGCTTAAAGCATTTACGTCCCTTCGCGTCGCTTCTCTAAGATGCTTACTTTGGCGCCTCCCATCGTCCCCGCACGGGTTCATTCGCGCGTAATCCTTTGACACCCCAGGCGGCAGGCTCTGAAACAGCTGTTGGGCTTCCTGTGTCCCCCAGACTCTCCCAAGGAACATGGGCAACTTGGGAGCGTCCTAACGGGTCTGATGCCCGGGTGCCGTGTGCGGCCTGTTCAGCGAATTAGCACCGCAGGGAAAGACGCGCAGAAGGCGTGGCCGCCTGAGGAAGCCTGGCGGGTCCGGCCGCACGATTCGCCGCCGCGCCAGCAGTCCTCGCGGTTTACACTCCTCGACGGTTTGAGCCTTCGAAGTTACGACTTAGGAGCTGTCAGTCGGAATCCGGGATCCAGGAGCATGCGGTTTATTCCATCAAGGAGGAGTCTAGTGCCGGTCTTGTTTCTAACCGTGCGCTTCTGCAGGAATGCGGAGTCGATTTTCCAGGGACCTCAGTGCTAATGCAGGTTTTTTTTTTAAATTTGTAATTTACCAGTAAACCTACAATGACTATTTTAAGATCTAAATACATGAAGCGTAAGTGGTGAAAAAGACACCGGCGCTAAGGAAGAACCAGTAATACCTACCAGCTAGGCGGCGCTGAGCAGGGGACAGTTAGAAGGCTGTTACTCACATACACCTAATCTTCAGAAAACTGCTACAACTTGGGTGCTATTGTTTCTATTTCACAGACAATGAAACTAAGCTTTTACGCTGCTGCCAGTCTATATAGCCTTGAATCCAGAGTCTAAGTTTTTGACACTATATTGCTGCTCTTGGTAATACGTTTAAGTACACTTTGAAAAGGCGTCACACTCCATCAATGTCAGGTGGTACTATCGTGGCTGTTGGAAAAAGGGCCTTAATCTTGCACTGTTCTTACTGCTACCACCTAAAGAAAGTAGTGCCTTAAAGTGGTTTGAATGGCACAGCTGTCCTGAGAGGCATTTCGGTGAGTGTAGTCCTACCTTTCCGAATCAGGGGCAGCACCACTTCAGAACTAGCGTTTTATAATTTCAAGGACTCGAGCGACGGGCCAATGTCATCGGAAGCGGCTGTTACCTACTCATGAGTGCGGAGAAGGCAAAGCCTTGGCAAAAACTAGCAAACAGAAACACTACTTCAAAACGAGTTCAGTGTCTGTTCCCTGGAAGAGGCCTGTGTGTTAACGTCTCTAAGGAAAAGATTCTGTGTCTGGGACACCCCGAGTTAAAGACTTCTGTTTTCTTCATCTGTCACTGTTCTTTTGGAGTGAGATATCGATGGAAGGTCAAAGATCAAGAGTCCTGCAGCAGGAAACTCAAACGATGTGTTTAGCACTCCCGTAACACTCCTCTAGTGTATGCGGCCATGACATTTCAGAGTTTGTGGGCTATGGTTTTCTGATCTCTCTCTGTGAAAGAAATATTCTGTGTCAGTCTCCCTTGAAATGGGACCACACGTCACTGTTGAGAAATGAGACTAGTTCTGCCAATACCTTGATAATTCGGGCAGCGAAGAGCAATTGCAAGTTATCAATAATGGCTTTATCAAGCACACGGATTTCAGCCATATCTCTGCAGGAGAATAATGCTCTCATGACATCAACTCTTAGCTGAAAAGAGGACTTAATCTGTGGCTGAGATAACTCAAGCAATCTTAATTATAGCTGTGAATTTGGTCTCAACCATAAATTAGGGGAACTACTTTGTTGACCTCAGTGGATTCTTATATTTGCAAGAATTTCCTCTCTCCCTCTCTCTCTCTTTCTCACTCTCTTTCCCTCTCAATAGAAGAAGAGTCTGCAGGCCTGAGCCGCTTTAGTGAATATCTATTAAGGCATTCAAATATCTACCCCTCTACTGGCATTAGTAAGCATCGCTTTGGGGCAAGCGCAACCACAAACAGCCTCTGGCACTTGCAAGGGGATGTCAATACATCCTCCTGGATGAGGTAAGAGACCTGTGATCACACACCTTCGGGAGAGAAGCAGATGGGCTGTGTCTGGATGAGAAAGGTGAATAAGCCAACTTGGGGACCATCCAAGCCGAGACTAGCTGGAGAACTGGAATTAGAATGTAGATCAGAGCTGAGGCGCGTAACTGACCTCTACCCCTTTCTAAGTTTTAAATCCTTATTAGAAAGCTGAGTGGAGAAGCTGTCCACAGTGTCCTCCTGCAGCGCCTCTATTTCTTCTGCCCTCGGGAAGTCTAACTTACTGTTGTGTGCAATTCTGACTTGCTTTGTGTTATTCCCGATTCATCCCATTTTGTTTTAAATTGTACTCTGCTTTGTCCTGGAGGGGAAACCTTGAACCTTTAAACCTCCCCGAGGAAAATGTGGTGAAGAATCCATGGTAGGTTTTGTAACAGCTCTCAGCCTCTATCTACACAGAGATATGGTTGGACAGATCATAGGGGTCTGTGTAAATTGTTATTCCTGAGTTAATGAGAAAAGGGCTTTGACCAATTAATACACACTTCTCTGCCTTTAAAGCAGTGTGGGAATGTCCTTAAAAGATTTCTGACAGAAATAGCTGAAACATTGTGTATGTGTATGTGTGTGTGTGTGTGTGTGTGTGTGTGTGTGTAAAGCCTTAGGTTTGGGTTAGAAGCTGGAAGGAGAGTTGAAAATTAAAAATAATAGGCAAAGTCTAGAAAGTCTAAGTATTGTTTTTGCTTTGAATCTTAAAGAAGAGTTTGAGTGGTTCGTATTCTATCTAAAATGGTTTGTTCATAAATAATGAATGTTAGAAAGGCAGGATGCCTAATGTCCCTTTAAGTCCGAAAGGAAATTTATGAACCCTTCAAAATTTTAAATCATTTCAAACTGTGTAAAAAGAACCCCTTTAGGTATTATTCTTGACCTGAGCTCTACTCTGCAAACTTGCTACAGTCGTGTTCCATAGAAGGCAGAGCTAACCTCCACACCACTGATACTTTGGACCAGATCATCCTTTGTTATGAGGGGCTATCCTGTGAACTATGGGATGGTTAGCAACATTCCTGGCCTCCCCCTTACTAGATTCTAGTAGCAACCCCGCCATCAGTTGTGAGACTTAAAAATGTGTCCATATGAAATAAACAAGGACCTACTGTACAGCACAGGGAACTATATTCAATATTTTGTAATAACCTGTAATGAAAAAGAATAGGAAAAAATGTATATATGTATTACTGAGTCGCTATGCTGCACACCAGAAACTAGCCCAACATTGTAAATCAGCAATACTTCAATTTAAAAAAAAAGTCTCCAGACATTGTCAAATGTCCCAAGGGAAAGATTGGGACAAAATCACCCCAATTGAGAACCGATGATTTAAGAATAATGGTGTGGTGTGTGTGTGGCAGAAGGCAGGCCGATCTCGCTAAAGACACTAACTGTAAGATAATTTCATCTTTAACTGGGTGTTGTCCGTAGCTGCAACAGTTGGCATCTCCTAAGAATCTGGCCTTGCCTCCTACAAAGCTTTGACAAAAAGGAAATGCGTAAGTGGCATTATGTGACATCTGAAAATAGGTAAGTCTTTCAGCTTCCAGTTTGCAGACTTAAGACTGCTGCCCTGAGACCACCAGGTAAGAAGGCCAGTCTAGCCTCCTGGAAGATGAGCTGCCACCTGAAAGCAAAACAAGGTGCTCCAGCCGGCAGCAAGGACCAACTGCCAGTTGTATCTTGGACTTTGCAAGCCAGCTGATCTTCAAGTTAATTCAGCCCCGTAAGTGAACCTGGGTGAGACCAACAGAAGAAATAACCAGCCTACTTACAGACTCAAGAGAAATAAAGAATCTTTATTTTAGGTCTCAAAGTTCAGGGTGGCTTCTTATGCAGCAAGAATGACCATGGTTCCCTGGCTGGTACCTGGCTGGTACCTGGCTGCTGTGGAGAGATTCCCGCATGAAAGGTGATGGGTCAGATCCAAAGAGGTGAATGCCTTCCAGGTAGAGTCCTGAAGACATGGTTCCCATGACCTCAGAGACTTCACACAGCTTCCCCAGGGCACACGTGTTGATTACATACTAACTCTACAGAATTGCATTTAATTCAGTGAGGAAGATCGCATTTATACAGTATCATTGTACAAAGTACAGAAGGGGTGGACTTTCTACCTTTTTTAAAGTAGGTGAAGACAAAATCGTGACTGTTATTGTGAAAAGAAACAAAACATGATGCTCTGGAACAAATTAAAAAATATAAAACAAATAAGGTTGGTGAGGGGTTTGGATGGATTACTTGTCAACTTGGCTATGCAGGCGGAATTTTTCCAGACTTTCCTCTACTTATGGTTCTAGATTAAAATTGTCCAAAGGAGAAATTTGCACGAGGTTTTTGAAAGGTGTAGGGGGAGCTGTGGCCATCGTGCCCTGAAGTTTCTCGTAGTTGGACGCAGTGAGAGACAGATGCAGAGATGCGAATGGAGTCCACCACATCCTTGCTTTGTCCCCCACTCTGTGTCCAGCTCTGCTTCCC